AACAGAACCAATCGTATAACATCCCTTATAATCGTATAATATCACAGAACCAATCGTAAATCATACCCGACAACGGTATAGTATTGCCGAATTTGTTGTAATGGTCACCGTAGAAGCACACAGTGCATATTTCGTCAAATGAGGCACCGATTTCGATCCCTACCGCAGTCCACCACATCTACTCTATTCAGTAGTCATTGTCATTTCCTGGGAAGGCAATTTCATAAGTTTGAAATTAAATTGACTAGTGAGGCCAGTAATCGGTTCGAATGCTGAGGCCGTCAAGTTCAGTGGAAAGAAATTCAGTTTGAATACGATTTTAAAATACAGAGGTCGGTCATCAATTTAAATTCTTAAAATATTGATTTTATTTCAAAGTAGGTAAGTAAATATGGATAACGATGATCAAATCATAAGTTGGAACTCAAAAGCAATTACGAATGTTTGGTTTGAATTCAATGTAAATGGCGATCTAAGTACACAGTTAGCATAAATAGCGGTAAAAGACAACCACGTCTATAAAGACGAAAAGCGATCTAAATAGTACATGGGTCTATATACGAATAAAACAAAATATTAACACCGTTACCACTGTACAAAGTGACACTAACCTTAATCCTAACAAATAAAAGATTTGGAATACTGCAATGGAAATAGCAATGTTGCATTATGAAATGATCAGTTACGTCACAAGCATAACATTAGAACACTGACATGAGTGTAACATTAGTGGCCTAGACGTGATTGTTACCATGGTAATCATTGGACCCATAACCCTGACCTCTGATCTATTACAATTATTAAGTTATTACAATATTTTCTATAAATCTCTCCGTCCATGAGATTAGATGGAGGTATACGACTTCTTCCTGTATCTACCAACACAGTAACCAATGACCACGATGATAATAAGGCCTGCAAGACAGCATCCAACTATGATAGCGATAAGATTGTCATTGACTGTATCCATTGTACAACTCTCAGCTGTGAAAACAAAAAAACACTGCATCAAGATGCGCTTACAGACTATATTGACATATATATATACTATATGAGTCATAATACACAATATATCTGAGCTACAATTACAGACTATACCAGGGTCAACAATTA